TCAACTTCCACCACTTGGTCTTCTTTTCAATCTTTCCTCTTCTCTTCTCCCTGACCACCAGAAACATCCTACACATCACCATCCGATGCTGTCTGGCTACACTCTCTCCTACCACTACTTTACAGTCTCTGACCTCTCTCAGATTGGCCCGTCTACAAAGGATGTAGTCTACCTGCGTACTCCTACCTCCACTCTTGTAGGTAACTCCATGTTCCTCCCTCTTCTGGAAATAAGTATTAACTACAGCCATTTCCATCCTCTTGGCAAAGTCCACCACCATCTGTCCTTCTAGGTTCCTTTCCTTAACTCCGAACCTGCCCATCACCTCCTCATCACCTCTGTTGCCCTCGCCAACATGCCCGTTGAAATCTGCTCCCACTACTACTCTCTCTCCTCTGGGAACACTCTCAGTCACCTCATCTAACTAACTCCAAAATCTCTCCTTCTCTTCCAACTTACAGCCTACTTGTGGAGCATAACCACTCACTACATTCAACATCACCCCTTCAATTTCTAACTTCAAACTGATCACCCTGTCTGACACTCTTTTCACCTCTAAAACATTTCTCACAAACTCCTCCTTCAGGATCACTCCTACCCCATTTCTCTTCCTATCCACACCATAGTAAAACAGTTTGTATCCCCCTCCAATACTACGCGCTTTGCTACCCTTCCACCTAGTCTCCTGCACGCACAGAATATCTACCTTCCTTCTCTCCATCATGTCCGCCAGCTCCCTACCCTTCCCTGTCATTGTACCAACGTTAAGAGTCCCTATTCTCAGATCTATACTCCTGCCTTTCCTCTTCTCTTTCTGTTGACGAATCCTTCTCCCTCCTCTCCTTCTTCGACAAACAGTAGTCCAATTTTCACCGGCACCCTGTAAGTCAACAGCACCGGAGGCGGTCGTTGTTAACCCGGGCCTCGACCGATCCGGTATGAAAATCGATTTGGTGACTCGCATATTTGGTTTTGCCATATTTTACGCCGGATGCCCTTCCTGGCGCAACCCTCTCTATTTATCTGGGCTTGGGACCGGCACAGAAGTCACTGGCTTGCAACCCCTGTGGCTAGATTATTTAAGAACTAAAGAATAAAAAGTAGATTAACTAAAAGGTCTAAAGCTAAAGAAATTCTCTAAATGACCACTAGATGGTAGTATTACACAAGAATATAAAAAGATTCCCATCACACTAGGTCCATCAGCCCTTGCATCGACTCCTTGTCAGAATATGGCCAGCTCAGCGCCTGGCACGCTCTTCCGGGTGATGGGAATCCAGCCGAGCCCAGTGATACTACTGGCCCAGCTGAGACACTATAGCTGGAAGAACCTCCTGGGCTACTTCAGCTCGCGCTGCACCCCAGAATAAACAGAACAAGGGAGGAAACCCAGACGGAGTAGATAAGAAAGCGCCCGCAACAAAATCAATCACACATACACTGTTACATGCAGTGAAATAAAACCCCTCTGGCCACAGACATAGACAAGGTGAGGACAGACCAGTGTTGAGAGGTAGTATTTGAGAAAGAAACAGAGAAATGGATATACATTAGGGAAGGTAGCTCAAAAAGAGCCTTTTCCGCACTGTCCTCAAAGGGCAGTGTGGAGTGGATTAAAAAAAACGATTGCAATCAAGCACATATAGTCAAATACAGGAAGGAAAAATTGCAGGATGTTGTAGGGTCCAGGGAAGTGGTGGAACCGCTGCAGTCTGTAGCCAACATTTTCCTGCTGTCATTAACGGCACTGTACTTATGGCCCCTTGGATTACAGCAGTAGAGAGAAGCCGGCAGAGGTGTTGAGGAATGAATGGGGGGGGGGTGCAGAGAGTCTCCTCGGGGGAATATTTAGACTCCTTCTCGTGGCCTTCAAGGCCAGAGGAGATAAGGGAAAGCCAGATGGAAGAGAAGTTAATTTAGGTGAAAAACTGTACATTTCTACAGATTTTAAATGTCCATTAACGGTCTCCATTTTATCTAACTTCCGTTGCATTGCTGCCAGCCTCTGCCTGATGAAATCCTGTTTGCGGTCACAGACCAATAAATGAGTCCTAGCTATTTCGGCTGCATTTAATGCAGCTTTCTTGCCTGAACATAGTTACGTCTGGAAATGTCCCAACAGAAATAATTTCCAAAAAGATAAAGGTTCCATATTGTCAGAAAACACTTTGGCCCATGTGGGGATCGAACCCAGGACCTTGGTGTTATTAGCACCACGCTCTAACCAGCTAAGCTAACAGGCCCTAATGTGTAGCATTTAGGCTAATAGAAAAAATTCATTTTTTGGGCATCCAATTTAACCTGAAGAATTTAAACATTTCGCTAAATAAAAACAGCCGTTACGGCAAAGGAAATTTAGAAAGGTGAAAATGTTTATTTTTCAGTTCTATTAGAATCTTAAGGAAACTTTTTGTCTTCTGAGTGAAACCTTTGGGATAACTTCTTCCTACTGGAGTTTCTCGCTTCAGCTTTAAATTTCCTTTGCCATTACGGCTGTTTTTCCTTAAATTAGGGAAATGTTTAAATTCTTCGGGTTAAATTGGATAAAAACAAAAAAAGTTTTCTATTAGCCTATACACAACTCGTTACGGCCTGTTAACTCAGCTGGTTAGAGCATGGTGCTAATGACGCCAAGGTTGTGGGTTTGATCCACTCATGGGCCAAAGTGGTTTTTTTTAAAATAGGGAACCTTTATCTGTTTGGAAATTATTTCTGTTGGGACATTTCCAGACGTAACTATCTTCAGGCAAGAAAGCGGCATTAAATATGGCCGAAATAGGAAGGTCTTGGATTCGATCTGAATCTAGAGTATTGAGTTGATTGGAGAAAGTTTCAGGCCGTGAGGGCCCAAACGATACGATACTTCAATGAAAACGCATTGAAATACGAATGAGATGGGCTCTTGCGGACCCTAAGAATGTCTCAGCCTAATCATTGAGGGCTTAAATTGTGCCTCTAAGAGCCCTGATACTACATCTGGAGTTTGGTGATGATCTAATGAAGCATTGTTTTTATATGATTTTTTAAAGGTTTAAACTCACATTGGAAAAAAGGCCAGAGTGAGTTTAAAATAGTTCAAGGGCCTCTAACTAAGGCTAGTAAGGTTCTAGAGAAGTAAATGAGGGCTCTTTTTTCCCTGACTGACCTCAGGAATCTGAATCTAGAGTATTGAGTTGATTGGAGAAAGTGTCAGGCCGTGAGGGAGGGCCCAAACGATACGATACTTCAATGAAAACGCATTGAAATACGAATGAGATGGGCTCTTGCGGACATTTAACAATATGAAGCCGTGCGAAAAAAAAAAGGTGCGCATCCTCTTCCTCCCCTCACCGCAAATCCACACAGACTTCAGACACATCAGTGAGCTGCCGCCCCGCTCACAGCCAATGGTGACGTGGCGCGCTCGTCATTCAATAGTGACGTCGTGCGCTTATTATAAATGACCGGAAATATTCAGGGTCTCCCCCAACACTCTGTTCGCGAGCAGCGTGTGATTCTCGGTGGGCTTAAGCTCTCAGGTCATTTGGTTCCTCGTCTCGACGGAGTAGATTCAAGGTTTGCTCAAACAGGGACCTATGCAAATGACGTTCAACTCTATTGGTTGCGTCGTCACGCTCGTCATTCTCGTCACGCCTGACTGATAAACGTTTGTTTAGACTTGATGTGTCTGGTTTTACTTGCCTAAGAAATGCTTTTGTCTTTTATTTGAAGCTCGTGGTTAACTGGACGCTTAACCACTTCAACAGATTCGTGCTATGTATTTGTGTTTTTTCTTTTCAGAGGTTCGCCACCTGAGGGCGCACACGCTCCAAAAACGGCAGAGAGAGAAAGAGAAAGAGAGAGAGAGAGAGAGAGAGAGAGAGAGAGGGCCAGGTTTGAGTAACGTTTTTTGTTCAATTTCTCTCTGATCTCTTGGTCACTTTTGATAAATTACTGCTTGTGGGAGATTTTAATATTCATGTAGATGAACCAGGTGATGCCCTTGGACTGTCATTTATAGACCTAGTAAATTCATTTGGGGTTCAACAAAACATTTCCAGACCACCTCATAGTCTTATTAGGGAAATATACACCACTTATTAATTAATTTTTTCCTCTTTTTCGAGTTTCAACTTGTTGGTTTACTGTAAAGCTGCTTTGAGACACTGTCCGTTGTGAAAAGCGCCATATAAATAATCAAACTTGAACTTGTGTGCTATTGCGGCTGTGTTTAATTGAAAAAAAAAGGGATAGAGACAAGAAAATTCGAGACTTGTCTTTTTTTCTCTCTAAAGATGGGTTGCAGCTATAACTACAGTGACAAAATTTAGCTTTGAGAGCAAAACTGACATTCCAAATGTGTCCGTGACTGCGGCCCTTTGGGCCTGTGCTAAGGCTGTTCTTTACAGTCGACGCATTTCACAAGAGCTAGCACTGTGGCTTTTCATCAAAAGGTCACTAGTTCGAGGCTAGCGGGCGGCTCCTGCTGGTTACAGATGCTAATGAGCCAAGTACGGGTTTCTTTTTCAGAAAGCAGCAGAAACGAAGGCTGTGACAGTGATTTCTCTCTCTCTCTCTCTCTCTCTCTCTCTCCCTAGTAGAAATGCTTTACAGAGTCAGTAAAAGCACAGGGTTCTCTCCACGCCGCGACTGCGATGACGTGTCTGTGTGAATTCGTGAAGGCCAATAAATTGCGTTGGTGTTCTGCCTTTGACATGCGCTGTCTTTTAAACAGAGTCTGCTTTTACTTGTTCCCTTAGATTCTCCTGGTGAAATTCCCGCGGTGGCGTTGTCCGCTTTGACGAGTGATTTCTTCTGCTCGTCGCAGTCAGCAGGACAATGCCAGAAACACACAGCCAACGTCAGCGAGAGATGTGCGTGTGTTTATGAGAGCCGACCGCACTCCGAAAGCCACACTCAAGACTCACTCAGAGAACAACATACGGGTAAAGTGCACGCGATGCCAGGCCGCCCAATAACGGAAAGAGAGCAGATTTGGTGTCCAGCACACGTTTTGTTCGATGCGTTTGTAAAATGTACAAATTGTTTATGGTAAAATGTTAAAAATGTAAAAAAATAAAGAAACCAAAACAATCTTAGCTCACTTTTTGTATGTGTTTCATCTATGATTCGTACATTGGATATTGTGATTTTCTCGGGACCGTCGTAGAAGTGATCATTTGAAGTGTTTTGAACATTTCTTATATTTTTTTCAATTTAACAAGAAATCAGTCGCACTAAGAGGAAAACTAAAGTGTTGCCTATAAATGTTTACCCGTTTACTACCTGGTTCGCTCATTGTCTGTATTCGTTGTGAAAATTAATGAACGCGATCTGTGTCTTTGCAGAGAAGAGTATCCTTCAATCGTAATCCGCTCATACGAGGTGTCAAAGCGGTGGCCTTTTGCATCAATCGGTACCCAGGAAGCAGCTCTCGCGTTTCCCAAATCCATCTTCCCTTTTCAGAGTCAAAGGCTTATGGTGCCGGTGCACGTTTCCAGCGCCGTTTGGGAAGATTGCGGGGTACGCCCTAGAATTGAGTAAATTCAATGATCTCGACGCATGTTTTTGCTCCAGTGGAGTAAACCGGAGAAAACCCGCTCACGCGAATGAGCAAGTTCCTTTTGGAAGAGCCCCGGCTGGCCTCGAACCAGCAACCTTCGCACTAAAAGAGGAACAGCGACACCCGGCGTGCCACTCGCAACAAATCATCTGCAATGTATTCACGCGAGAAAACTGAGATGGAGAAAAAAACAAAAAAAACAACGGACAAGCCTCTGTCACCCAAAAGCCCGACGCTGACACAGCTACACCGGCGCGATGCTGATGACGAGTCCCACCCCGACTCATCATGGTCAAAATGTAAGGTGCCCTCGCATTGGTTACGTACTCAATGGCATTGAGCACCTAACAAATGTTCTAAGGCACGCGCGGTAATGAATATCGAAACACACATGCGCGATGACGTACTCAATAGTATTGAGGACGTAATCAATGTTCATACGCGCATGCGCGGAGATGGAATTTGAAACTCCCATACCCTGTGATTAGGTTTTAAAGTCTATGGTTAAAACCATAGATATTTTATAATTAGACAAGTTTTCTTTGAAAAGACATAACAATTATACTGACACGAAATACTGTTTTTACTCTGATGATCCCAATTCGTTTGATCACTCGTTTTGGAAGTGCATAAATACAGCAGTTTGTGAAATTCGATTTTAAGTAATTGTATTGTTGATATTCATATTATTATTTGCTATTGTTGTTGTTCTAATGTTGTTTATTTCTTTATTTTAAATACATTTTTATTTTATACATTTATTTTATTTAACAATATGAAGCCGTGCGAAAGAAAAAAAAAAAGTGCGCATCCTCTTTCCCTCACCGCAAATCCACACAGACTTCAGACACATCAGTGAGCTGCCGCCCCGCTCACAGCCAATGGTGACGTGGCGCGCTCGTCATTCAATAGTGACGTCGTGCGCTTATTATAAATGACCGGAAATATTCAGGGTCTCCCCCAACACTCTGTTCGCGAGCAGCGTGTGATTCTCGGTGGGCTTAAGCTCTCAGGTCATTTGGTTCCTCGTCTCGACCGAGTAGATTCAAGGTTTGCTCAAACAGGGACCTATGCAAATGACGTTCAACTCTATTGGTTGCGTCGTCACGCTCGTCATTCTCGTCACGCCTGACTGATAAACGTTTGTTTAGACTTGATGCGTCTGGTTTTACTTGCCTAAGAAATGCTTTTGTCTTTTATTTGAAGCTCGTGGTTAACTGGACGCTTAACCACTTCAACAGATTCGCGCTATGTATTTGTGTTTTTTCTTTTCAGAGGTTCGCCACCTGAGGGCGCACACGCTCCCAAAACCGCAGAGAGAGAAAGAGAAAGAGAGAGAGAGAGAGAGAGAGAGAGAGAGAGAGAGGGCCAGGTTTGAGTAACGTTTTTTTGTTCAATTTCTCTGATCTCTTGGTCACTTTTGATAAATTACTGCTTGTGGGAGATTTTAATATTCATGTAGATGAACCAGGTGATGCCCTTCGACTGTCATTTATAGACCTAGTAAATTCATTTGGGGTTCAACAAAACATTTCCAGACCACCTCATAGTCTTATTAGGGAAATATACACCACTTATTAATTAATTTTTTCCTTTTTTTTGAGTTTCAACTTGTTGGTTTACTGTAAAGCTGCTTTGAGACACTGTCCGTTGTGAAAAGCGCTATATAAATAATCAAACTTGAACTTTTGTGCTATTGCGGCTGTGTTTAATTGAAAAAAAAAGGGATAGAGACAAGAAACTTCGAGACTTGTCTTTTTTTCTCTCTAAAGATGGGTTGCAGCTATAACTACAGTGACAAAATTTAGTTTTGAGAGCAAAACTGACATTCCAAATGTGTCCGTGACTGCGGCCCTTTGGGCCTGTGCTAAGGCTCTTCTTTACAGTCGACGCATTTCACACGAGCTAGCACTGTGGCTTTTCATCAAAAGGTCACTAGTTCGAGGCTAGCGGGCGGCTTCTGCTGGTTACAGATGCTAATGAGCCAAGTACGGGTTTCTTTTTTCAGAAAGCAGCAGAAACGAAGGCTGTGACAGTGATTTCTCTCTCTCTCTCTCTCTCTCCCTAGTAGAAATATTTTACAGAGTCAGTAAAAGCACAGGGTTCTCTCCACGCCGCGAC